ACAAATTAGAATGACTATTTTGACTAGTGGGAGACTGTCTGACAAAGAGTTTATGATCTGCTTGACATCGAGTGTACCCATTCTCCTTCAGAACTTTGGAGAACTTGTCGAACCATGCACGTGGGGACTTTTTCAATCCATATAGGGATTTCTTTAGTTTACAGACTCTATTGGATGCAGTAGGAGATTCAATCCCAGGAGGAATGTCCATATAGACATCTTCTTCGAGATCACCATTGAGAAGTGCATTCTTGACATCTAATTTGTGGAGAGGCCAATCCAAGTTAGTTGCCATAGAAAGAAGAACGCGAATTGTGTTGAGCTTTGCAACAGGTGCAACGGTTTCCTGATAGTCAATCCCGTAAGTTTGAGTGAATCCCTTGGCCATAAGTCGGGCTTTGAATCTTTCCACACTTCCATCTGCTTTGTACTTGACTGTAAAGATCCACTTACACCCAACCGTCTGTTTTCCTGGTGGTGGTTCTGTGAGTTCCCATGCCTTGTTTTTCTCTAAAGCGTTTATTTCTTCAAGGATAGCTGCCTTCCATTCAGGTACCTGAATAGCTTCACGAACAGAGTTAGGTAACTATATCTGATCAAGATTGCGGATGAAAGCCTTACAACTCAGTGAGAGATGCTTGTAGGAAACAGAGTTGTAGATAGGGTGATTTGTGCAAGACCTTACACCCTTCCACAAAGCAATTGGTAAGTCCAAGTCATTAGAAGGCACGTTAGGTGGCAATTCAGTACTAAAAGGTTCAGAGATATTTGGCAGCTCAGTAATGGGAGATTCAGAGGTGTTACCTTGATCACTATTGAGGTGACATGTACTCGGGTTGGACTCCTAGAGTGGCTCAAGATATGCTTGGTTCTCTATTCCCTTTTGAGTTCTTCCCCTCCTAGAGTAAACACGAAGATCATTGTTTGGGACATGGGAATTATTTAGAGTACCACTCTGAGTTTGTGTTTGAGACAATGACTCATTCTCGGGAATTTGAGGAGGAATTGGAGATTGTGTTTGAGACTCTTGGGAATTTGAGGAGAAATTTGAGGAATTTGAGTGGGAATATTATCCCAAAGTTGATATTCATTTGTGTTCTCCCCCTGAATGACAACTTTGGGATAATATGGAGATTGTTCACAAAAGGTGACATCCATGGTATTGTAGAAGCGCCTTGTAATAGGAGAAAAACACTTATATCCTTTATGATTGGGTGAATATCCTAAGAATATGCCTTCGATGGCTTTGGGATCAAGTTTGCCTCTGTGATACACATGGACATATGCACAACAACAACAAGTCTTAATCCCAACTTAATTGGGGTAGGCTATATGGATTTCACTTTTTCACGCAGCTCTGTTCGAAATTAAACTTTCCTGAAGGCCTAGATCTAGAATGTCTTTCCTAATTACTTCGGTCCACGTAATTCTTGGTCTACCCCTCCCTCTCCTAGTATTAGGTATAAGAATGTCCTCCCAAGCACGAATTGGTGCTTCGAGCGGTCTACGATGGACATGCCCGTACCACCTCAAACGGCCTTCGCACACCTTATCTTCTATTGGTGCACACCTTATCTTCTATTGGTGGATTACAGTCCTATAGAACTTTCCTTTCAACTTAATAGGCATCTTGCCATCACATAAAACACCCGTAGCATTCTTCCACTTAACCTACCATACCTTAATCTTATGTTGAATATCCTCTTCTATATCTCCTTCGTACTGCATTATAGACCCAAGGTACCTAAACTTCGTAGAAGCCCCAATCTCCATACCATCTAAAGAAATTCTATCAATCTGATTACTTGAGTTACTAAACCTACAATGCATGTATTCAGTTTTCGTCCTACTTAACTTAAATCCCTTCGTCTCGAGAGTCTGTCTCTACAGTTCTAACTTACGGTTAACTCCTTCCTTATGTTCGTCAACTAAAACTATATCGTATGCAAAAAGCATACACCAAGGAACTCTATCTTGGATTTCTCTTGTCAGCTCATCCATCACGATGGTGAAAATATAAGGACTAAGAGCAGATCCTTAATGAAGGCCGATCCGAATGGGGAACTCTATCGTGTAGCCTCCAGCAGTTCTCACACTCGTGACCACCCCATCGTACATGTCCTTAATTACCTTGATATACCTCACATGCACTCTCTTTTCTAGCATCCCCCATAAAACTTCTCTCGGCACCCTATCATATGCCTTTTCTAAATCTATAAAGACCATATGTAGACATGGACATATGCACAACACCCAAATATTTTAAAAGGAATGCTTGATACAATTTTGCAATGTGGATATGACTCAAGAAGAGTGGTGATAGGTGTTTTGAAATTTAGAACATGAGAGGACATCCTATTGATAAGATAGGTAGCAGTAAGAACAACTTCCCCCAGAACTGTTTTGGGGACATGAGTTTTGAACATAAGAGATCTAGCTACCTCGAGAAGATGCATGGTTTTCCGTTCAGCCACCCCGTTTTGTCGAGGGGTGTCAACACGAGCTTAGATGGACAATTCCATGACTTGACAGGTAATCACCGAGAATTAAAGCAAAATATTCCCTAGCATTGTCAGTTTTCAAAACTTGGATTTTTGTTTGAAATTGAGTTTGAATCATGACATTGAAATTTTTAAATATTTGACCAGCTTCAGATTTTTCTTTTATAAGGAATAGCCAAGTGATTCGAGTATGATCATCGACAAATGAAATAAACCATCGTGTCCCTGTTATATTTTTGATTCTAGATGGTCCCCAAATATCTGAGTGAATTAATGAGAAAGGATGTGACTTTTTATATGGAAGATGTGGATACGAATTTCTAACATGCTTAGAGAATTGACATACTTCACAATGAAAGAACTCTGAGCTTTTATTCTTGAATAACGAAGGGAAAAGTTCTTTCAAGTACCAAAAATTTGGATGATCTAGGCGATAGTGATTCAACATAATCTCACCATCATTATTGGATTTAAGATTCAACAAAGCTTTATCCTGACATGGAATTTTTGACATTGCTTGGAGAACTTGCTTCTCTGGAGATTCTTCACTCTTGAGGAGATAGAGTCCCGAGCTTTCTCTAGCACTGCCAATCGTCTTCCCTGAATCCAAGTCTTGAAATTCACACAGATTGTGATCAAATTTAGCCACATAATTTTCATCACGGGTGAGTTTAGCAACTGATAAATGATTGCAATCAAGAGTTGGAACAAGAAGGAAAGATTTAAGGGTAAGAGAATTAGAGATTTTTGCTGAACCAATCCCCATTACTTTAGACATAGAACCATCAACAATTCTAACTGAGTGTCCTTCTTGGCTGGTTGCGAGATTCATGAGAAGAGAGGCATCACCCGTCATGTGGTTCGAAGCACCTGAATAAACAATCCACGGTTTTGTAACCTGCTTTACAATAAGCGCTTTGACGGGGTTACTTGATTGAGTCAAGGTTGCGGTTGATGTTGAAGTGGATGAGGATTGTCTGAACATCTTTTGGAGGAGTTCAATCTGCTCTTTGCTAAACATAGCAGGCTCGGTTGAAGTAGGTCCATTCGTTGTAGACGCAACATTTCTAAGGCTTTCTTTGTTGGTGTGCCGTGCGGAGGATGGCTTCCAATCAGTAGGCTTGCCATGAATTTTCCAACAGGTTTCCCTCGTGTGACTAGTTTTATGACAATGATCAAACTAAGGTCTTCCTCTTCCATTCCGATTGTCATCAGTATTGTGTCATCGTACAGCAAGAGCAGAACCTTCTCCCGTTGTTGGAAAGCTTGATTGAGTATCCATCATTATCTTTTTCTGACTCTCCTCTCTTCGGACTTCGGAGAACGCTTCACAGATACTTGGTAGAGGCTGTCCTGAGAATTCTTCCCCACACTTCATTGAGATCTTTGTTGAGGCCCATAAAAAATTTGAAGACTCATTTCTTTTCGACAATCTGTTTGTACATGTTTCCATCTTTGGCACACTTCCATTCATAAACCTCAAAGAGGTCTAGTTGTTGCCAATACCGAGTAAGAGAATTAAAGTATTGGGTAACCGTGGACTCACCTTGATGAAGATCATGAAGAATACTTTTAGCCTCAAATAATTCAGACGTATTCTTGGAAGGCAGCATCCCATATTCCTTTGGCAGTGTCATAGAGGAGAAAATTTTCTCCAATCTCGTTTTACCATGGAATTTATCAGCCATGACATCACCATATTGTTTTCAGACTTTCAAGTTTGGTATTTCGCATCATCCTTGCTTGTTGCTGCTGCAACTCCGGTGAAGTAGTTGTCTTTCATCTTCCCGCATACGAACATCATGACTGATTGGGACCACTGAAGGTTATTGTGCCCATTTAATTTGTGGTTGGTGATGGGCAGATTATTGGTCTCGGTTCCTCCATTGGAGCCTGTCATTGCAGGTTTAGAATTGGAGATAACTTCGGACGAGGAGCTAGGCTTTTTTGTGGTCATGCCGTATTTTTGCATGTGGGGATTTAGATATCAGTGATGCTCTGTACCATGAAGATTTTTCAGAGGTAGAAGATGAAGAAGAATTCGAACATAGTAGGACGAGCAAAATTGCTCTGAATACTTTCTTATTCACACACTTTCTCTGTACAGCAGCACCCTATATATAGGGTTAGGACTAAGACAACATTCCTTCTATAATCTAGACAATAAAAGGAAATAACTACTACAAAAGGAAAAAAAAACTAGAAAAATCAGGTAACTAGGAAATCAGTCACCTAATTACCCAAATCTACATTTATGGTATGTACAGGTTGGCAAATCAATTAGCCAACTATCCCCTAATCACCGAGAATTAAAAACAATCCTAAGAAATTCTACAGTTTTTCCTATGTTTTTCCCTAGTGAGGATTTCTAATCCTCCTTTTTTGTATCTGATTTTCATCAATGAAATCGTTTTTCTTATTAAAAAAAGAGAGATAAATATGAATGCTTACTTGACCAGACTTAAAGCTATACTGTTATGTTTCTTTGCGATATTTCAGGGATGTTTTTCAGTGCTCTGTGTTGATAAGCTTTTGGCGGGTCCGCCATTCATGGCATAAAAACTTGATGAAGAAATGTATGGAAAAGGAGATTCGAGTTGAAATATCAAGACGACTTGGGGAAATAATGGATAGCATTTGTCAAGGACAAGGAACTATAAGTTTATTTGAGGGTTTCCTGGAAGATTTTCTTGACGAATCAGATTTCATGGATTATTTTAAGGCGACGTGGTATCCTAGAATGGGTTAGTAGTGATTATCTTAAGTAGAATTTTATCTATTTCTCTTACATAGACTAAATAATCTGAGAAGTGTCATTGATAGTGGCATTCTATAACTCTTAAGACTTTGACCATTGGCTTTTATTGGTAAATCTTATTGTTTTCTTTTTCGTTATTTTAAATTGAACTTGCTAATATGAGATGTTTCCATTTACTCAGGGAAGTGGATCACCGCAGTGCAAACTCTTCCCATTGCAAGCCAAGAGACTTGTTCTGCAATCGAGTTTTACCACAACCAAATGAAGGTTAGGTTGTTGAATGAGAAGAATCCTATTGTTTACCAAAGAACTGATTGGTTGGTTGATAAATTGAATACGAAAATACATTCGTACTTTTGGCTCGATGAGTACTCGGGAAAGGATGATTTTGCACGATACCGAAAAGAAGAGTGGGTAAGCGGTTTAACATCTTGGCGCAAAGCGTTGGAGATTTCAGACACCGACGTCGTAATGGAAGGTGGAAGCGCTAAAGTTACTGACCAGCTTGATCGAGATAGGTTGCACGTTGTTTGGAACTCCGGTTCACAGTTTGGTATTTGCGAGTGTAATTGGGCTGAAATGGGAAACCTTTGTGAGCATATGCTAAAAGTTATTAGTGTCTGGCGCAAAAAGAAGTCTGCTACACCGTCAATCAGCCTGCTTCAGTACCAAAAGGTATTCATGGATATGCTACAATGTGCACCCCATGATTCTTTGATTCGTGATCATGCTGTTTCCTTAGCAGTCTTTGTACAGAAGCAGATAAATGGACTGGTATCTGAAAGCAGAAACTCTAGCAAGGGTCAACCAAGTTCTGGAAATCATGATCAAGAATTAGCAAGTGGGAGAAGTGAGGACATCTTGTATGATAAAGAGAATGGTTCTTTGGATCGACATGGCACTCATGGCAGAGTCACAGGTATTGTTGGTGGACAAACGAATGATTCGGGAGATGGTCGAAATAGTATCTGTGGTGATGGTCTTGCAGAAGAAATTTCTTGTGCAGAAATGGATGTTGACCCATCATCTATCTGTATTTCTCCGCCTGGTTTACATTCTGTTGATGAGGTTGTATCTAGTGGTGTCCTCTCGGAGAACACGGAGAAAGGATTGAACTCAGAAAGTGAACATCTTCCTTCCAAAGATGCAGATGCAACTCTTGCCAACACAAATTGTTTCACAACTCATGCCTTAAATAAAGGTGGTCCCGAAAGTGAGATGGATATGGAATCAATCTCCATGGATATACCACCTTCAACCATGGAATTTGTGGAGCAGTGCACGGTGGCCCATCAAAATGACGCCTATAGTCAAGATCTCAAGCCTGTTATATCCAACACAGTGGATGCTGATACCCTATCTATCAAGACATCTCCACCTATAACAGTACATGTTGAATCACAGGCTGTTGAAATTGCTGAAACTTCAAATTCCAAGAAAGACAATGAGGAAGCATGAGAAAAAGCACATGCCTCTGCTTGTGTGGTTAGATGAAGTTGATGATCATGTAGCAGTTTTGTCTGTGATTACGAGCATTTGGAAATATGTTGGTTAAACACGTTGACCAGTTCTAAAAGAATTGCCAGACACTGCCAACATCAGGACATCGCCAGCATCTTGCTACCATGAGGAGTAACGACATTTCCTGGTTATGGATAATGGAATTGGTTCCTGCAAGGGCCATCCTTGGTGACTGAATCTGGTGCTTTTTCTAAATGGTAAAGATTGCCAAAGATGTCAACAATCATAAGAATTGTTAGTAATGCTGAGAAAAATGAAAGTGAAAAGTTAATGATATTATTGATATTGCTCGTGAAAAGTCCGAACAGTAGAGACTGCCCGTGAACCTTGTAATTGGGGTCCAAGAAAACGTCAAGGTAGATGCTAGGGGTCGCGGCTAGTGTAACAAACAGCTGTAAGTTCTGCTCTTTGTTCATGTGCATATTCTTTTTGATAGTCTCAGATATTCCCATTTTATAGGATTAGTTGTACCCAGTTACGCAAGTTATTATACGCAGCCTTCAGCAGTTCTGTCAAATTTAAGGAGAAACATATTTAGATTGAAAATAAATAAATAAATAAAAGGGAATCTCTTCCCTTATTTTTCTGTGGTCATCACTCTCAAGTATTTTGGCCTTTTGTTCTAACCGAGTCGATGGTAAGCGGTGCTACTTACTCCGAGAAATCTACTAGCTTGTTGCTCGAGTCTAAATAGTAAATAGACATTGGATTCTTCTGATTCAGAAACTTTTATAACATAGAACATTCTATTCGGTTTCTTAATACAACAACAGACGATAGAACAAAATACTGACACGAGATGTACATCATCACAGAGAACTTTTCGTACAAAAACATTTGCATAAGTAACTGTTTGGTGCATAATTGCCTTGCAATGTTTTTTCGTCTAAATGAGTATTGCCTTAGCAATCTTTATTCTGATGACCATATCATCATAACTTACTGAGCTAATAAGTTTTGCGCTTCAGAAGAACAAACGACTCGATCACTTGCTTGTAGCTCAAGTCCAGAAACACAGAGCTCTCCTTAAACTTCTTCTCAAACTGATCAAACAAATTGTTGATGATCTGAGTCCCAAAGTGGTCGCTAAAGAGGCCTTCCATTACAGCTCGGTAGTGCATAATGATCTGATGAGGAAAGTCTGGATCAAGGAGGAATTCCCTTGGACGAACCAATGCTTCCATTCTCTCAAGAGTGAAGTTGGGATTTCTCTTGATGAGCACCTCTAACTGTGCCGGAGTCGGGAGATATACCGGCAAGTTGAATGACTTTACTTTCTCTTCGCTTGTTAATCCCTTTTGGTATAGACGTAGTTATTTTATATATTGTTAGTCCTTACAGCTCAGTAACAAAATGGAAACTTCATGATAGATGTTAAACATATGTCAATTTCAAAATTAAAGTAATTATAAAAAAAAGAACTAGTTTGATTTATATCGTAAGGTACGGTATTATGAGCTTTGTGAAGTTATATACTAGTGACACAGCAGTGAGATCTTGAAGCACTTGAATAATTTGGTTTGTAAATCATGCACATTAATTAGTAAATATATGTCTATGAATGTGTAGAGATCAATACCATAGCTGCCATATCTAAGAGAACACTGCCCATGAGATCAAACAAAGTTGGCGTAATGCACTTAGAATTTGGCGGCACGCTAACGATGGAGAAAGCAACTAGTCCACCAGGGACAACCTCCAATGCCCTAGCACCCAAAAATGAATCAAAATCTCTAGCGAACTGAGCTTCATAAGCTTCAGCAACTTCCTTGGAAGAAGTTGTCCAATAGATCTTCCCCTTGTTATACGCGGGAGAGCTCTCATCCGCCACTCCCTCCGGGACCTTAGAGAGCCAATGTAGAGAGTAGCCGGAATACACGAAGTGCAGGCTCGACTTCAGGAACAACCGGTTGTAGAATGAGCCTGGAACTCCGGCAGCGTAGTAGGGCTTATCAGATGGGATGGACCTGAAATATCGGCGGGTATGGTGGATGGATTTTAGCATAGTCTGAGCCTGATTTATATATATAGTTTAGTTTAGGTTACATATCCAAATGCGTGCTCGTACGTTTTACCTACCTGAAAACAGTGTTAAAATCGCTTGAAACGAGGTCGTTGAAGAATACTTGGAACTCTAGAGTTTTGGAGAGGTGATCCAGTCCCTGAGAGTGGAGCTTTAGGTGGACGGAGTCCATGACATTTTGCACGGCAGCGAGTGTATTGGCTCCGACGGCACAGCCCATATCTACCATGTTGAACGCTTTATGAGAGATTGGTGAACTAATAATGACTTGGTCTAGGTCAAGCTTTTCCAAAATTCCCTCCTTGATGAAGACATTGAAAGCGTCTACTCCCTTTTTCTGCTAGACACGAAGATTGGGACTCATGATCAGACAAGTAAACCAAAAAAGAGTAAATATTGACGCACATAAGTCCGATTTTGTAAGCTAGAAAATTTTGCACTCTGGTTTCTTTACTTGAACATCTTTGGCAAGTTATCTCCTCCATAACATATAAATTTCTTTTGAAATGATCTCTGCTATAATTGAAGTGTTTATGGCACGTAATTTTGAAGAAATAATAGACCAATTAAGAAAGTCTAGGGCTCAAATCGTTAAAAAAGTGCTGACAATGCTAAGAATTTTGTAATCCAAAATGGGCATACATTATGTACTCGTTGCGGGTTAATTACATAAAATACACAAAAATGACAAAATAGGTACCCCAAATAATTAATTTTAAAAAATAGAAAAAGTCGTAGTATCATTGAAAAGGGTGAATTTTTTAAAAAATTGGATTCTTAAAATATATATGGACATTATGATCGACAGTACTAGTATATATAGAGTAGAACGATGTTGAAAACCAGTGTTGTTGTCTTCTAAAAATTCTCAAAAAAAAAAAAAAAAAAAAAAAAAAAAAAAAAAAAAAAAAAAAAAAAAAATCAATGAAGTCACCTGTAAGGAGGAATTGCGCTTGTAACTGAGCTCATCTTCTCCACCGTTGACAGGAAACACTTGGTGTCGTTGGCTACCCTCTACTTCACTTGTCATCTCTCCCTCTCTCTCTCTCTCTCTCTCTCTCTCTCTCTCTCTTTGTTTTGTGCTTCACATAATTAAACAATGAAACCTTTTATAGTTGCGTTTTGTTGCTTAATTCTCTCTCTCTCTCTCTCTCTCCCCCCGCGTGTGTTTGTTTTGTGCTTCACATAATTAAACAATGAAACCTTTTATAGTTGCGTTTTGTTGCTTAATATTTTATTTTTATAATTTTTGGTGAAGTTATATTCTCTGTTCATTTTTATTTTGCTGATCAAGAAGTTGCGTATTTATTTGTTTGGTTGCATGCACGCTCTATATTCCCAACCTAGTCATAGATCAAGCCATCACATCAATAACACTAATAAAATATATTTTCAATTCAATAATTGTACCATTTCTCTTTCATATATATTAATGATCATCACACACTTCCATTAGTTTTGTTCCTTATAGTACGGAGGGGACCATATATATATATATATATCAGTATCTCTATAGGTACCAACATGTGCTCATTCTAAAAATAAATATAGTACCATTTGCAACGGTGTGCAATTAGTTTTAAATGTATGTAATATGCTAATCAATCAGTAAAATGGTTACCAAGCAAATTATAAAATAACATCAAAGGTCTTTGTTGGTAAAGAGCTGCTTTCTTCTTAAAAATTAAAAAAAAAAAAAAAGAAATTTCTAATCAGGTCGTTTTACCATATCTTTGAATGATGTCAAACTTAATTATGCCACATAAAAAAAGTTTTTCCAAATGTCCTAATAAGTGGCTTCATTTACTGCTTACAATCAGTTGTAATATATTTATACATTATTAATTGTACGGATGACTATACATTAATTATATATTATTTAGTCATAATCTGCAGTAGTATCATATAGGTACCTGCCAACTATTTCTTAATGATCCGATAATGCAGGCCTAATTAATGTTCTTATCCTTAATGGAAACAATAATATTGCTTTAGATGCCTTTCTTTGCTTTCTAACAACGAAGCCGATGAGATCTTTTGTGTGCTCTATTGTGAAAGAAAGCTTCCATATTCTGCTCCAAAGTAACCTTTTTACGAGACGAATCAAGAATTCAAAGCACCTTGCTTTAAATTAACGGTTCTACAGTCACAGGAAAGTGGTTGAGATATTGAATATATATTCAATTTCATATAAATATTTGATACATATTATCTATCTTTGTAGTTTCTAAAATCAAATTAAAACTATAAAATACATTAATGCTGTTAGAAGATAATTACGTAAACATCTCTATTTGGCATTTGCACATGTTTTTTCGCATAAACTATATTCTCTTTCTTTCTCTCCTTCTCCTTTTTCTCTTTTGTGGGATGGTTTGATAGAATTTTTGTTTTTAACTTATCAGTAAGTGTTTGAAACCGCGTTTTTAAAGGAGCTTACGGTTCTCTTTCTTTCTCTTCTTTTCCTCTTTCTTTTTGTGGCATGATTTAATAGAACTTTTATCAGTAAGTGTTTAGAATCACATTTTTAAAAGAGCTAACGGGTCAAAAAAATTAAATTTTTTAAGTTGTATTAGAATAGATCAGTCTAATACAAATTTCAAAGTTTATTTATAACTTTTATATTTAAAAATCTCAATTCATGATTTTGATTAAAAATTCTTCTTAATAGTATAAGTATTTCTCGTATATTATCCAAACACTTTTAAAAGCAGAATTAATATAGATCATAAAAATCACGAGCAGTTTTAAGAAAGCTCTCCCAAACAGGCTTTGTTACCGTCTGTCATATATTCTTCAATTTTTCTCTTCTTCTCTGCAAGAACCGTTGTGGTCAGCAAGTGACCAGCATTGTCTCTACACTGACATATTTACGACGAAGATAGTGTGTGGATCTACGTGCAGCTTTCCTTAAGAGTTTTTAATAATTTGGGGATTCTTTTAAAATTTAAGAAAAAAAGTTACTAACGAAAATTATAATAAAAATATATACACTGACAAATATTTATCAATAAAATCTGAAAAATAATTTGTTAATGAATAGAAAAAAAAATAATCATGAAATTTGTCAGAGAACCTATTTTGGTCCCGTTTATTTCACCGATTTGAGTTTAAAATTTAAGTTTTGTTACAGTAAAACAACTCTAAAAAACAGTCACGTAACTTTTTTATTATGGTAAAAAGCTCTCATATAAAGTCATATCTCAACTCGAATTAAAAACTCGAATCAATGAACTAAACGGACCCTTTGTGTTCTACTATGTACTGAATAAAAGATATGCATCGTAAATCAAGATTTACACTAAAGAAAAAAAATGCACAGGAAAAATATTATGTAACCAATAACTTTCTGGCGAAAAATATATCAAATTGGTCACAATAAAGAAAGAAATCCATGGAAAACCAATAACCAATATGTATTCACCTGGATTTACGTTGTATGTCCTATATTTACTAGTATAATACAATCTGCATTTTCCAGTAAATAGAATATTTACGGTGTTTATCCTTTATTTATTGAGAGAACATAATCTTTGTTCTTAGTAAATTTTGGATTTACAATATAAAACTTTTATTTACTTGTAAAACACAATTATGTTCACCAGTAAATAGAGAATTTACGGGCTCATTCCGTTATTTACCAGGAGAAGGATTTACCAAATAAAAAAATTAATTATATTTCTATGATAAATCCTGAATTTTAGGTGTGTATCCTCTATCAATTACTAGCAGAACACAATCTGTCTTCTCTGATGAATCTTAGATTTATATCGTAAATCCATGATTATTTTTATTTTTTATTCATTAATTAATTGTCACGCCCCGGTTTCGGGTTGGTAACGTGGAGGCTCGATTGGGAGTTAAGCATTTAATAATTAAAACCAACAGTGAAATATTAAATAAATCTCCAAACGAGTCCGACTATTTTACCTAAAATAAATTACAAGAACATCTCAAGAGGCTAAAACTCCCGCCTCTAACACTGTTCAGGGCTACACCCACAGGATCTATCCAAGAGATCTTTAGTATCGTACATACATGAACATGTAAATAACATTACAGACATCAACCACAATTTAGAAATCCAAATATTCAGAGTTTACATAATTTATAAATTCTTACATTCGTACACAAGGATGATGATCACAATCCTCACCAAATCCGGTGGTAGCAACTCACTCAGCTACTCCGCACTGCTCATAGAGTCACCTGGGAGGGGTTTAACATTTATAAAACAATGAAACGTGAGCGAAGGGCCCAGTAGGATATGTTTTGAAATAACTTTATAAATAAGTAAACAAGCAAATAATAAATGAGTAAATGAATAAATATAGACATTCAGTTCCAACACAACAGCCAGAACCTCACATCATTTTTCTCAAAAGAAATATAACTGAAAATCTCTATATTATAGGCATTAGCAAGTAATTTATACTATGATAAATTACTTACACAACTAAATGCACAAGCCATATCACCCCGGGCCGGGTTTCGGGTCCTGCCCCCAAGGATGCACTCTCCACATCTTATCTAGGCCATCAGCCGGTTTACCGATTTGCAAGATCTCTTAGCTTAAGAAATTATTCATTAAACTTTATGAAACAGTTCATTATACTCCCCAGAATCTACAACAAGCCATAGGCGTAAAAATATTTTTCTTTCACAAACATGCCATTTCTTTAAAATATTTGCAAAGCCAAAATCCTTTTGAAAACAGGCTCACAAAGGAAAGGGTGAGAAATCCAACCTCACAAGTACCAAACACGGCTAGCGTTACATTATTCTGGCTTTCCCTTCCTCAAAGCCCCTCAATCCGAGTCCTCAGCTAGCACTGATGCAAAATCACGCTTTAGGATCCAATTCACATTCCTAAAGCAATTTAATACCAATTATACACTTCGATTTCCTATTAGTGTGCCATAATTTAATTACCGGTTTCACAACCCATTTCATGTTTCAAATCATCATTCCAAGGGTTTTCAATCTCAAAACATGGATTAAAGAATCCAATCCATTCACTCTAGGTCCCCAAATGAAGCTAATTTGGGTCCTCCTCAAAACCGAGGTCAAAATAGAGTTTTTTGACAAAACAGGGTCAAACCCAGTGTACACCGGTCGACCGGTGACAGAGCAGTGCAACACCACCGGTCAACCGGTGGTGTGCAATTCGGTCGACCGCATAGGTCAACCAGTATGACCAATGCAGTCCGGTCGACCGCACAGGTCGACTTGTGAAGTACAGCAGGGCGAGGAAAACCCGCGGAATCCACCCAAAAACCTGCAATTTCAGTTTCAAATTGAAATATCTCAAAGGAAAACCACTAGATCCGGGTTCTAGGTACTGAATCAAGTCCAAAGAACCCAAGATCTCCAATTTCTACCATGGTTTTACTCAAAATCCATCAAAATCCATTGCGAACCAAACTAAGTTTTTAAATCTGAAAAACTTGAGATTCAAGAGAGTTTTTTCAGAAATCTTACCTCAAATCCTTCCCTTGACGTTAAAAACTTCTTGAAATTCCTCTTTGGTTCGAGATTCGGTTGGTTTGAGACAAAAACGGGAGAGAGAGAAAGAGACAGTGAAGAGAGAGAGAGAGAGGGTGCTCAGGAAGGAAAGAAAAGGAAGGAAAAAGAAAGAAAAAGAAAAAGAAAAGAAAAATAGACAGGTGTCAAACAATTAAAATAACAGTCTAAAAATGTGCCCATACCACTTTTGGGTAAAAATATAATTACTGAAAAATTTTAAATACTTTAGAATTATTTAAAGTTATACGTCAGAAACATTTATTAATCAATAGTTAATTATTTAAACCAGATTAGGCACACTAACAAATCTCAATTACCTTAATTAATCTTATTTAATTCTTCAGGGTGTTACATTAATATGTTTTATTTACCGTACAAAAACATGATTTTTTTACTATTTATTTTGTCTTTTATTCACTTAAAATTGTAATTTATCTTATTTTATTTTATAAATAACCAATAATTTATCTTTTGAAAATTAATAAATAATAATTCACAAAATAAAAGACAATTATTTATCAATTTAATTCTTTTTATTTCGTAAATCAATTATCTGCACATTATTTTGCAATTTTGTGAGAGAAAATTAATAAATTTACAAAATGAAGCCCCTAATTCTTAAACTATCTAATTCTATAAAAATATTAGATGAATATTTAATTCAATGGAACATAACATCCAAAGCAAACTGCTTTAAAAAAATAAAAATAAAAATATTAATAATAATGGAAAAAAACAAGAAGCGGCGTTTTTCCCGAACACTGTCATAGACACATCCGCCCTTTGTCCCACCAAAAAAAAAAAAAATCTGCCGGCAGCAATACATCCTCCTTTATGCTCTAAACCAACTCTCCCTCCTTTCATTCTCTCTTGTATCATGCATGAATCTCACCAGCCAAGGACCATTTTACAAGTACTTTAAGGTATTCATCCTCGCCCACATGAAGTTTTCTTCTTAATTCTTTTTCAGTACTCTTCGTTTTTCCCAAGCAAAACCCAACAATTGTTTCAGAAAGAACTACACACACACACACACACATACAAACATATATATATATATATATATATATATATCTAAAGGCATGAGTGTGGATGTACATGTGCAGGGTTTGATCGAGCTAGGATAAAAGTGATGGATGAAATAAAAGTGGGGAAAGTTTGGGATGGTCATCATTATGACATGCAAGTGATAGGGAAGTTCTTGAGTTATGCTTCGAGGGGTGATAGAGTTGGACTTAACATGATGTTGATAAAAGGCATATCTCCCGATGTGCAGGATTATGATAATAGGACTGCGTTGCACTTAGCAGCAAGTGAGGGCCACGCTCCTATTGTTGAGCTTCTTCTTCACCACAATGCCAATTGTAATCCCATTGATCGATGGCAACGGACAGTAAGTACCTTTCTGCTATTCTTTTTTTTTTAAATACAACACGAGATTAAACCATTAACCTCTATTTTCTTTTCTTTTCTTTTTTTTTTTAATACTGATGCACCCTGAATTTTATTGGTATTTGACAATTTAGATTTTAAACTTTTAATTTTGGCAAACGGAATCCTAAACTTCAAAATCCGCTATAATTGTGAAATAATAGCTAATAGACGTGAATTAATGGATCAAAATGTCCATTAATTTTTACATTATGCTAGAAAAATTTTGTTGGTTTATAAGTTAGACGCTGAACCATTTTGTTTTAACGTTTGGGATTTTAATTGCCGTTCCTTAATTGACATCAATTAGCAATTGGACTGTATTGCAAAAGATTGTTACATTTAGGAGCCATTACTGCAGAAATTAAGGGTCCGTTTGGTTCATGAGTTTAAATCAATAGTTTTGATTCTGACTTTTAAAATTTAAATTTTTTATGAGAAAAATATTGTAACAGAACTAAAAATCATAGTTTGAATCATGAAGAATTTTAAAACAAACGCACCTTAAAAGTTTCAGGGCTCTACTTACAAATGAGAGCGTAGAACCATGACTATGAATATTGGTTCTTCTTTGGACTAAAATGTGAATCGTTTCTTTATTGAGAACCAATATGATGCAAGAGATGATGAATTTTCTGAGCTTTGAGCTTTCCCATGTTCCTTTTATTCACAATACTTGTGATGGAAACAATGTAATGTTAGATCGTCTATAAAATGAACAACCAACGTAGCAATGCCAAATTTTTATTTCCCCAAATCGTTTCACTAACTATGAGCATTGAGGATGTCATTTTAATCATTTAAATAACAGCTTTTTACTAAGTTTGAAGAGTGTCTTAATTTGTTCATATCATTTTAATGTCCTAAAAAATTATGAGTTTGACGTCTATTAGACCTTTTTTTTTTTTTTTTTTTCTTTTTTGGAATTCTAAAGCCTCTGTCAGATGCAAGATTCTATGGACACCGAGACATATGCCGGATCCTGGAAGTAAATGGTGGCGGAAAGGATTTTTGTGATGACCAACAAATGGTAATTGAACTATAGGTTACACTTCTTGTCATATATATATATATATATATGTATATATGTACATATGACATGATGATCTAAACTTTGTACAGTGATCACAAAATTATATTTTGTTCTTGCATATGGGTTCTATATATAGAATTGAAACATGGATTTTCACATATCCAATCTTTCACTTTTTGAAAGTTCATGAACATCAGTTAGAGCACAAGCGACGTTAAATCGTTTCTACGTCGGTTATTAATTCCATTACCGATAGGGTTTGACCAAATGTTTATTGTCTTTCTCGTAGTATGATCATAACCCTTTTTCTCTTTTTCCTTTGATCTCCCGCTTTCCCTAATGACAGAATAAATCCGACGGTCTTATGAAAAGATCCCTTTAGCAAGCATACGCATATTACATATATGCATATTCAAACTATTTGATTAATATAACTTGCTAGCTCAATTCGTTTATGAAAAAGACTAAAGGTGTGTTACTTTTCGAGTCTAACCTTCAGATTTTCACGTGTATATTACGAAGATATCTTGATCACTGTTTATGGTTGAAGTACTTGGCTCAAAATGGCATTTCTCGCCAAATTAAAGTGCAATGGAGACATATGACTTGTGTTGTTGACGCCCTTGATTTCTGTTTCTTTCGCAGACTGTACGACAAGAAGATTTGAACGAAGTAAACTTTGATATATCAGAGTTAGATTCTGAGGATCCATCAGTAAATGTCCAGGTATCATGTATGCAAATATATAATAAAGAAGATGATCATATCAGTTTCTATACTTTGAATTTCATCAATTATGTTGGTCAAACATTCTTATCAAATACTAAATTTTCTCTCTTTGTTGAAACACTTTACATAAATTATTTTCCTTTTTTTTTATGCCAGAGAAGTTTTTCTTTTTCCAAGGAATTAATTTATATATCCATAAAAAGTAGCTAATTGATTCAGCTACTTCTGTATGATTAATTTTCAGGGCATATTTGGTGAATCTGTGAAGGTCAAATGGCGTGGAACTTGGGTTGTTAAAACGGTTATAGGAAAACAAATATATTGTCACGGTTTGAAGATGTATGCTTGATACAAATAAATTTTTTTCATGGTTAAAATCTTGGGTTGGGGTTGGGATATTTTCCTTAAAAAAGGGAATATATATTTACTAATTACATTTTTCGATGTTTCAATCTTGACTGCAGGATACCATCTGCTAAGGTTAATACCCTTCTAAGAGAACTGAGACATCCCAATATTTTGCAGTTTCTTGGTTTGATTGAGAAAGAAGAGGAGATGGTTTTGATTGCTGAGTATCTATCAAAAGTATGTACTGTTATAACTGCACTTTTGGTTTATATATATATGTGTGTGTGGGTTTTTCTATAGTCCTTATGAGGGATCGTCCCTTCAAGATAACGTATAAAAGTATAAAACGTAACATGGTATTTATTTAATGTAACACCGACATTAAAAATGTGAAATATTAAGATATGTAATTATCTCCAAATATTATTACATCTTTCTAACATCCTTGTTATAGTAAATAACCAAATTAAAATATAACAATGTATTAGCTGGTCAAAGTTTCTAATGTTACGTTTTTCCTCGTTATAGTAAATAGTCAAATTAAAGTACTAGTCAAAGTTCTTGATGTTACATTTTCTCTCATCATCATGTTACATTAAATAACGATAATGTTACGTTTGCGACAGTTATCACATTTTACCTAATCCAGTCCCTATGCGACATGTATGCACCAGTGCCACAATAACTGTGATTCTGGCTACAAACCCACCCACATCGTTTGCTGATTAGATTTGATAAAGATTTTTTTAAATATATAGAAGAAAAGAATGCGAAAAGAAAAAGAAGTATCAAATTTTTCTTGCTATGTTTCTCGTTAAATCTTTTATAATAACAGGTAAGGCCATATATATTGCCGAATCCATTCCTCATAATTACTTTATTTCATGTAATCTTTTTTTGATCTGATGTTTTCATGTAATCTTTGATAGATGATGTATCATCTAATCAATGCGACGCGTTATAAGCTGCTCAAAAAGACATTAGACGCTGACTCAGAAAAATACTCTAAAGAAGTCATTTTTCAAAAACTATTTTTATGTGCATTTTGACCTCCAAACTTAGAAAAGCATAAATCACAAACTAAGATTCATTTTTAAACATTTTAAGAGACTATAATATACTCTAGACCTCTAAAATCATACTACAGTAAAAAATTTTCATGCCAAAATTTAGATATCAGGTCATAGGTCTATGAAGTTTGCATTAACTTTTAAGCAAAACCTAAAACTTTGATGTACCAAGTTGCTATTTTTTCTTTTTGATAACTTTTACCAAGTTACAAATTTATCTTCTCTAGTGTTCTCCTTCCTTTTTTTGGCACCATTTTCTAGTATTTCTCTAGCAGTAACTAGTTGCTTGTTCTATTTAGGGTAATTTAGAAGACATATTGAAGCAAAGAGTTCGACTTGACCAACCAACTGCTCTGCGCTATGCACTTGATATTGCTAGGTAACGTGTTTCTCTATATTACTCTACAACTGCTTGGATTTGGAATTTTGGCATCGTTCACTTCGTCAATTCAAATTTTTAATTTGAGTTAATATGTAACTTTATGTGAGAGTTTTTAATTTTAGTAAAAAAGTTAAATGTAACTTTTTGTGATAGTTTTTAACTGTAGCAAAATTAGAATTGAAAACTCTAATTGATAAAATGAACAAGATCTTTATATATATTAGTTTCTTATTAGGGTTTTTATCATGTCCCTATTTCCTTCCTAGACGTACGGGACTTTATACAGACAAGGTAAAACTTGTTACTTGGGTAAAATGTTTAAGCCTTACGGACTGTCCTTCTATGAGTAAAATATTAATTGAGAAAGAGAGCGGTGATAAATAAGATTTAAAAAAAAAAAACTTATTTTCAAACATTTCAATGTTATAGGGCGTGAAAAATGTAATCAGTAAAATGCGGTTTAATAAAGGTTAATTTTATAATTTTAAATATTGTTACGGCCGGCATGATTTTTAAAAAGAAAATTGTGTATTTTCTATGGAGATTTGAGATTTTAACGGCTGATGAGGGAATGGGATATTCATTATTCTCTTGTATTCCATTTATGCCATAAGTTTCAACGTTCCATTCTCTATTTGCTCGAAAATATAATTTGTTCATCATCAGATGATTATTTCTTCCTTAAATATCTTGATTCATGTGAATGTTGTTCTTTTCTTTTTGAATTAATTTCATAAATATCTCCTGAACTACGTATTCTAATTCAACATGACTTTCAAATTTCAAAAAAGGTTCATTTATCATTGATCAAGGATATAAAATCATTAAAAACCCCCGTAAATAACATAATGTCATAAATACCTCCTAAATTATTAATTTAAAAAAATTAAGAAGCAAGTTGACACAAAATTAATATTTTGAGAGAAAGTTTACTCAAAATCAATGGTTTAGAGAGTATTTATGCAATTATAAATAATGTCATACTATCATTTTATTAGTATTATAGACAATGAGTTTTTTGAACTATTTTATATAGTTTAGAAGTGAAGCGAATTCTTTCCAAGTTCGGGACACGTTGAAGTAGGGTACATATGTAATTTAGGAATATTTATGAAATTAATCTTTTATGTTTTTTATATCTCTTAACTGGTTGTCTGATAGCTTGTTCGTCTTGATTATCTTTTTATTGAGTAATAATGTTAAGGACACAAACACCAATCTCAACTCTGATTATCAACTGATGTTGCATGTAAGTTGTCATATTTTCATTAGTAGATGCAATCTCTTATCATCAATTGACGTGACAATTAAAGACCCACTAATATAAAAATGACAACTCGCATGTACACAAGTGTTGAAAATGGAGTTGATATCCCTATCATTATTCTATATATGTGTGTGTATATATATATAGACATATATATATATATATATATATATTTATATGTCTGTAACTGTTGGAATTGTATCCGTTGAGAACGAGTTTAAGCATAGTTTAGTACCTTTCGTTATGAACATGCTTTTGGTACTCCATTAATGGAAAATAAAAAATAAAAAAATGTACGAAAAGCTTAAGCAGAAAATCGATTGGTTTAATCCAATCTAAACTGATCAATCAGATCGGATAGAAGTGAATGATATACTAATAATTGGAATTGATTAAATGCAATTTTTTTAAAACCGATTTTTAATTGAATTGATTGCTATATGATCAAAATAGGTTGGATTGGATTGGATGAATGCCCTAGTTTAATATAAACAGATTAAATTTATTAGGATTTATTTTTTTTTAACATTAACTAAGATTTGTTAATGATTTATATATTTGGTAGGGGAATGAACTACCTCCACGCGCATAAACCTCTTCCCATAGTTCACAATCACTTGAATATCAGGTAGGCCTTATTTGCCAATTTTGCACTCTTAGTTAATCTACTACTCACAACGCGTGTGGTTAAACAAAATGTTTGAAAATAAATGAAAATAAAAAAAAAACTAAAAAAAAAAAAACTAAAAACTAAAAAGAAAAAAAAAATGTGTGAAACGTTGGCTCATGTGCGGAACATTTCGCACATAACTAAAGCCGAAACTCATTCGACTTTAGTTACATGGTATAGATGTACAAAAAAAAAAAAATATTATTTTTCATATATATATATATATATATAGAGCATCTGGGTAACTAATGAAATAACCATGTTAACTATATTCTTATAATGTTGAGGCCCACAATAATGAGATATCAGAATTCAAATCTGAATGTTTTCGTTTTGGATGTAGAAGCTTTTTTATTATTATTATTTTATTATTATTATTATTATTATTATTTTTTTTTTTTTTTTTTTTGCTGGGTGGATGTAGAAACTTGTTGCTCGATGAAGGCGGTCACTTAAAGATTGGCGAGTATTGGATGCAAATGTTGTATGAACAAATAAACTCCAATGACGACAATTGTATGTGTTTGTAGTGATCGTTTCGATTTTCTCCTCTTTTATTTATTTATTTTTAAATATAGATACTTGAAATTATTATTGTCTCTTTGTCAAATTTGCTCACAGGCCAAAGAAGGGATATTCCAAACATGGGTTCTACTGAATTTAGTGATACCGAGAAAGACATATTTTCTTTTGGTTACATATATTATCAGGTAAATTTAATATTACTCGATAAGGCACGCATATCAGGTAAATTTAGATGTATATTACTTGATAAGACATGCATATGGTCTTTTTAAAGCATTTTTGTGCTATAGAATTATTTAGATTAGAGTAGTGTTAGGAACACCAACTTAAATTTTAATTTTTGTGTATCAATTAATGTGGTATATATGTGAGTTGTCATTTATAGATGCAATCTCTTAGATCATTAATTAACGTGATAATATTTTAAACACCCACACAACAATAAGTGACAACATATATCACATCAATTGATACACAAATGTTGAAATATGAGTTGGTGTCTTAACGTTATTCATTTGGATTATAGAAGAAAGCATTATATCTTTATTTATGTCTGGCCAAAAAGGTAAATCGATATGTTTCAAAATATTCAACAATTTCAAGCCATCAACTTCCTGAGTTCTTAAGTGAAAGAATATTTCAAATATTATTTACTTCTGAAATCATTTTCAAAATACTAGTATTGTATTATTGCAAAAAAAAAAAAAAAAAAAAAAAAAACCTCGCACATATACTTGTACATATATCGTGATTCGAGATAAAATCTAAGTGTACAATACCTATGTTCTTGAAATGCAAACATACTTGCAACTTTAGATATGTAAACATGTACACTTTGTTGGGAAAATCGGGTATTTCTCACTCAAAAACAACTTCACCATGAACAGTACTTGTAAATAGTATAGTACACATGAATAGTATCGTATATGTGAATAGTATTGTATAGATGAACATTACTATACGCAGCAGACAAACCTTAATGAAAATTATTGAATACTAAAAACGAATAAAAGAACACTAGAATTAATAATGGAGTTCGGCCAAATAGTGCCTACGTCTTCGGGCATTGTGGACCACTTTATTTATTAAAGAGAAAAAAGATTACAAATTAGAATAAATTACAAAAACTCACAAATTGGAAACCTAAAGAATTTCCTACAAATTTTCAGATGGGAAGAAGCTCTCAATTTTTTGGGATGCAAAACAAATGAGGGGAGGCCTGTATTTATAGCCTCTGCCTCCCCTTCTTCTACGCAACTAGCTGTAAACATCTAAATTCGCATTCGAAATTTAACACCCTTTTCGGTGTTCTCTCTTCTTCTTCTCACTCTCTCACTTTCTGTTTCTAATTTTTTTTGACAAAATTGAGCCACACTTTTTAACTAACACACTTCAAGTCTATGAATATTAGAAGTATATTTTTGTAATGTTAAAACATGGTACTCATATAAATATCAATATTTTGTTGTCGTTTGAAACCCAAAGAAAAAAAAATAATTAGCAAATTTATAAAGTACGCACTTGCATTTGTATCGTTTATTTCTTTGAAATTATATCATGTTTTACATAATCATGTATTGCAGATGCTAGAAGGCAAGGATTTTCAAGACAACTATAGTTTTGAACATAGTAAGGATCTTGAGTCCATTGATTTCAAACCAAGGTTTCTCATAAGTCGGTCTTCAAAAAGAATTAAAGAGTAAGTATAACGCTAATGTTTAATTTCTTTCTTTGTCACATTTTTTATATTCAAATCATGACATCATCAATAAATGCAAATATATATATACATATATTTCTTCATATTATTCATGTGTAGTTATGACTAATTATTGTTATATGAACGTTTAGATAATGTTTGCAACTTTAATGCTCAAGTGATTAATATTTGACAAAAATCAGATGATTATCACATTGAATTACTTTTATTATATAACTATTGCTAAAATATTTGACTTTTATTTACTCTACAAATACTCAACTTTTACTCCAAGTATACAGTTTAATATTTTAGTATTAAAGTTTATAAGCTATAGGTGTTGTGTCCTAGTATCTCAAGATTGCCGGGCAAATTAAGAGACTTTAGGGGCAGCATTATATAAACTCTAATTGTCTTACGTTCGACTTTTCATAAAATTGTTTCTTAAAATATTAGCAACGTCTTGAAAGAGTTTTAGTAACTAATTATTATTATAGGAACTTTTAGATAAATTTCATTTTGATCCGATTGTAATCTGATCCTTATCTAATTATCACCTAAAGATTATTGAAAATTAAATATTCATGTGATACAAATGCTTAACAAAGTTTACAAGCTTAAACCTATGTATTTCTAGGTTATACAAATGTATGTACATTATTGTTAATTTTATTGTCCTAATTATCAACTCGATTGTGCTATGAATAAATCAATTTAACTTGTCTATGCAAGTTATATCTCTATGTGTGTGTGTGATTAATTTATTATCACATTAAAGAGTTTAATTTTTTGAAGGAATAGGAGAGTGTAATTAGAACAAGGTATATATGAAATGACGGTTTTCATATATTCTTAACTTACTAAAGAAATATCAAGTTTAAATTATTCACACATTCAGAGTTCAAGTGGTAATTTATATAAACTTGGTATAAAAATGATTATTTAACTATTGTCCTTTCAGGATATGCATTTGTCTCATTATGACACCTGACATAATTAGTTTTAAACTCTAGTTAAGATAAAGCTTTGCAAATATACAGTTTTGACCCTCTATTAGTAAACTATATATTTTCGATCAAAATGTGGCTTGTAAGGGTCCTAGGGGGACCAAAATGGTATTAAAAAAAGGTAATTTGTAAATGGCTTGTTTTTTTTCCTTTTAAAATAAGTTTTTTAAAATTTGTTTATTTTTATAAACCATTTTATCTCTGTTAAAATCCGTACAAGACATGTTTTTGGTATATAGTTTTGTCTAAAAATATACAGTTTAGTAAAAGAGGGGTCAAAATTATATATTTTAGATATATAAGTGTAGCTAAACAGCTAAAACTAAATGTTAGGAAACAAAGTAAGACAAATGCATATCCTCAAGAGTATGTAGTGTAAATAATCCTAAAGAAGGATTACGGTAATTATAATAGTTAGAAATTAAGTTAGGATTAGTAAAAAGTGTGTTTTTTTTTTTTTTTTTTCTGCAAGTCTTCCTTTTATTGTTTAAAAATTATTGATATATCATTCATGATATTATTAAAAAAAAAACCAACGAAAATAGGATAATTTGAGAACATCCAAAATATATATAATTTTGAAAAGCTTAAAAAACAAGATATAAAATAGTAATTAGCCAGTTTAAGATATTACTATTAGAATCCCACATTAACTGGAGATATTGGTATGATCCACTTAATAAGGTGAGGGCAATCCTCCCCTAACAAGCCGGTTTTGTTAGGTTGAGTTAGGCCCAATATCTTTTGATTTCTGTAAAATTGTATCAGAGCAGGCTCAGTTTTACAATGTTGGGTCCCCCAATATTGACTTATTCGTAGCAGTTTGGCATGGTCCACGCTGTGCGTGAGGGGGCGTATTAGAATCCCACATTGACTGGAGATATTAGTATGATCCACTTAATAAGGTGAGGGCAATCCTCCCCTAACAAGCCGGTTTTGTTGGGTTGAGTTAGGCCCAATATCCTTTGATTTTTGTAAAAATACTTCTCTGATTCTAGTAGAAATTTTATTTTTTTTCTTTGATTAAATAAAAGGGTATTGTATGAGTAATAACTTTTCAGTACGTATGGATATTGAAATGTGCAGGTTGATAGAGAATTGTACGAGTAAATGCCCAACACAAATGCCTCCATTTGATGTTGTCATTAGACTTCTTGAAGAGGAATCTTTCTACCTAAAGAAACTTGGATGTACTCCTGTTTGTAATTGATTAGATGTATAATATAATTTCACTATAAAAAAAAAGAATTAAATGTATAATATAAACAAGCATAAAATCATATCAATCAAATTGAACAATCATCCCTTGAATAACAAATATCTATTTTAGACTTCTTAAGCTCATTTTTGTTTGTCTTGGAAAAGAATATGATAGTTTGTCCATTGTCTATGGATAATTTGTATCCTGCTAATCTTGACACTTAGTGGACGTTTGATTCATGAATTTAAAATTATAATTCAGAACAATTCTCGTTTTATGTGTATTTTTTCTGAGAGAAAAACACTGTAGAGAACCATGAATTATAATTCAGAATCATAGACGAATATAGGAAACAAACATTCTCCTTATACCTTGGTGTTGGGTGTGGTCCGGGATTCGAGCCAAAAATATAAGCCAAGGGGTTGGGTTATCAGATGCGATATATGGAATTTTGAAATTTCCTTCGGGGCAAAATACAAATTTCATCAGATTTAACATATAATAATAAGTAAATAAACAATTTAGCAAGTAAATGTAAGATTTTTTTAAATAATCAAATTCAAATTTACCAAATAAATAAACAATTTACCACATAAATAAAAGATTTATTGATAAAATTAATAAGTAAATACTTTGCCGAGTAAAATTTACTTGGTGGATATAATTGATAAAACTTTTATTCAGGAAGATTACAGATTATTTTTTGTTTTCTTCAAAGGGATAGATTATTTTTGAATTATTTGCAACTACGCTTCCGGATTGTCTCTATTTTAGTCCCTAAACTTTAAAAAGTTCTCTTTATATTATCTCAAATTTTGAATTTCTTTCACTTGACCTCTTTACTTTCATTTTTTGTTAAAACCAGACAGAAAAATAACACGTGCTCTCATGGAGGTTCTAGTACAAGGATAAAATCGTTACTGAATCATGGGTTATTTGCACTCATATCCCTTAAATTTTAGAGTTGCCTCCACTTTACCTTTTGATTTTAAGTTTTCCTCCACAATACCACCCAAACTTTTTCATACTTCCCACCAAAACTTTAAACACCTGTTTGGTACCTAGATTCGTTCCCTGATTCGAATCATGGTTTGTGGTTCGCTACAGTATTTTTTCTCACAAAAAAATACACGTAAATCGAAAATGGTTCTAATCACATAGTTTGAATCTATGAACCAAACGCCACATAAATTTCTCCCACTTTTAAAAATACAGTGTTAAATGACAAAATACTTTGTAGACACTTTTTGAAAATATTAACGAAATATTGACAGTGTTTTTAAGAATTTGTCTATTTAACGTCAACTTTCACTGGTACTGATGTTCCTATAAAACACAAATATATTGTTATTTTCCTGGATGTTTATGTTTTCGTCCTTAGTTGCAGCTTCCATTGCAACTAGAATTGCGATGGAATAAAATCAGCAAAATTAATTCAAATAAAAATTACCAAAATAATAAAAAAAAGAGACACCAAACTGTGCTTATATCAAAGAAAAGAAATTAGGAGACGTTTAGTATGCTCTAATTTTTGGAGTGAGAATAGGCATCTCCAAGATTATTATGTTTGTTACAAAAATGACATTTTTTAGATTTCAAATAAGTGAATTTGTCACGCCCCCACAGACAGGGTGGGTGACGTGGAGCTCGATTAGGGGTTAATAAAGCAGATTCCCAGACGAGCCCCATTCAACTGCATTAAAATATAGATAAATTACAGAATTCCGGAGCCTCTGACACACACAGGGCTCCACCCCACAGGACATACAGTATCGTACATACATGCTCATGTAAATAATAATTACAACAGACATCAACCACAGTCTAGTAAATCCAAATATTACATAAGTTTACAAAATTCTCAAATTCCTTACATTTATTCAAGAGGATGAACTCAATCCTCACTTGATCCAACAGTAGCAATCTTCCGCTACCCCGCACCGCTCCTAGAGTCTCCTGGGAGGGGTTTAATACATTTGAAATATAAAACGTGAGCGAAAGGCGCAATAGGATATAATTTCAAATGACTTAAAATAAATGAATAAATAAATGAGCGAGTAAATAAATGAATGAATAAGTAAATAAAATTAGACATTCAGTCCCGACAGAACAGCCGGAACCTCACATCTTTTTTCTCAAAGGAAATATAACTGAAAATAACCGTTTTACAGGCTTCAGCAAGTAATAAGTACAAATTACTTACCTAACCAAGTGCCTCGCCTACCCAGACCGAGTTTCGGGTTCTGCCCCCGAGGATGCTCTCTCTGCATCTTATCTAAGCTTACAGCAATAGACTCTATTACCAGTTCACAAGATCTCTTTATTAAGAAATCATTCATTAACATTTTGAAATCGTTAATACGACCCCACGAACTACTCAAGCCGCGGGCCCCATGACTGGACAAGCCATGAGGTTCCATGACTAAACAAGCCATGGTTTTCAAAACGTTTTCTTTCACAAACCAATCCCTTTCTTAAAAACATTTTCAAGGCCAAAATCCTTTTTGAAAACAGGCTCACAAGGAAAAGAGATAGAAATCATACCTCGCACTATCAAACCTGGGACTAGCGTTGCCTTTTCTGGCTTCCGCTTCCTCAAGCCCCTTCAGTCTGAGTCCTCAGCGATCACTAATGCAAAACAACACTTTAGGATTAATTCTCATTCCTAAAGCAGTCCAAATCTCAATTTCCAACCAAGATTTTCTATTAGTGTGCCCTAACATTATCATGTTTCAAATTATCATTTCAAGGGTTTTTCAATCTTAAACAAGGATTAGAGATGCTAATCCATTTATCTCAAGTCCCCAAATGAAGCTAATTTGGGTTCTCCCTGAAAACAGGGGTCAAAACAGCAATTTCAGGCCAAACAGGGTCAAACCCCGTGTCAACCGGTCGACCGGTGACAGAGCAGTGCAACACTACCGGTCGACCAGCAGTGTTCACACCGGTCGACCGGTCAGCCTGTAATCCGGTCGACCGCATAGGTCGACCGGGTTCCATGTGATCTGGTCGACCGCACAGGTCGACCGGTGGAATCAGCTGTGCGAGAGAAGCTCATGGAAATCAGTCCAAAAACCTGCAAATCCAGTCCTAAATCCAAATATTTCAAAGGAAAACCACTAGATCCGGGTTCTAGGTCCTAAAATAAGTCCAAAGAACCTAAGATCTCCAATTTCTACTCTAGTTTTACTCAAAACCCATCAAAATCCGGTTTGAACCAAAAATAAGTTTTGAAATTCAAAAACTTGAGATTCAAGAGAGGTTCTTTCAGTAATCTTACCTCGAATCCTTCTCTTGACGTTGAAAACTTCTTTAAATCTTTCCTTGGTTCAAGATCCGATTGATTTGGGACAAAATGAGAGAGTGAGAGAGAGCACGGGAAAGTGAGAGAGAGAGAGAGTGAGGGAGAGAGACGCACGGGAAAGGAAGGGAAAAAGAAAAGAAAAAAGAAAAGAAAAGGAAAAAGAAAAGAAAATGACATGTGTACAATATTTTAAAACAACAGTCCAGAAATGCGCCCATACACACTTCTGGGTTAAAATAAATTACTGAGAATAATTTAAATACCTTGGAACTATTTAAACTCACACGTGTCAAAAACATTTATTAATTAATACTCAATTAATAATCCAGATTAGGCACACTAATAATCTCAATTACCTTAATTAATCTCAATTAATTCTTCAGGGTGTTACAGAATTCCATAGAATTTACTTTCCCATATTTTAACATAATTTGAATACCACCCAACATAGTATTATTCAAATTTTGATGAATCTCAAAATCATAAGAATCTTACCCACACACCCAGTGCAGCCTACCACCGCTAAGCATCTCCTCCTCCCAGTCATAGCTGCCGAGCACCTCCATCATAGCCATTGTCCCAGCTCAGCGCCGGAGTTCCCCTATCACCGCCATAGCTGCCGAACAAGCCCCCATCAAACTCATCACTGGAGCTTTCCCAACCCTACCATGGCTGCCGAACCCCCCCTGCCCCCACCAAACTCATCGGCAGAGCTCACCCATCTCTGGTGACTACCTCTGCGAAGCTACCGCTCATCACAACTACTATTTTTCATCGCTCACCACCTCTGTCACACGCCCCTGTTCGTCGCCCACACGTCATTACTGCTCCTCTCACAACGTCGTTGCTGGCCCTCTTTGCCCCAGCCCCTCCCAAATCGGTGGACAACAACTCACTTCCCCTCCCTCTGCACACCCATCGCCGGCTTGCGCTCTACCTATTCCAATAACAAAAGCCGCCCAGGTCCAATTTGAGCGAGAAGAAAGACGTGAGAGAGAGAGAAAGGGGTTTTTTTTTTAGTTTGTTATATTGAAATATTTTATTTGTTGATTTTTGTTTATAAAACTTTATTGTTTATTTTTAATAATTTTTAAGAATAAAATTAGTTTCATACCCTATGTTATAACAAAATATGCTTTTATAGCATGTACTTTTAATAATATTAAATAGATACTTTCAAGTTTTAAAAAACTTCTTTTAGGTATCTTAAGATTATTTTTAAGATATAAAATGTCAAAACTACCATTCTATCAAATTAGCCAAAATCAGATTTTAAAAAATGTGTTAAGAAAAATAATTTTTTGAGGGATAAAAATATTTTTAAGATAAATATTTTTTAAACATTTAAATTAACCTCAAAAGATCAGATATGTTCTTCAAGCAAATAATCAAATTTGGTTTGCAAATTGAAATTTTCGGAAAACAAAATCAAAATCCCCCACCACACACCATGGCCGCTTCTCGGAGAATATCCGACCCGACACCTAATCGTATAGGATTATGATTAGTTGGAAATGATAACGAAAAGTTTAATAGTTAGTTTTATAATATAACTTACAAATTTGTACATATTGCAAAAGTTATATTGCTATATGTTCAAGTCGACCAAACCTAACCGGTCATATAATATGATTTGGTTTGAAACAGATCAATTCAATTGAAAATATATTACTATTTTTTTTAATTAGGTTGATAGTGTTTCTCTTCGAATCGACGATAAATAAGCCACTGATTATAATAAAAATTATCTACTCAGCGTATATAAACGTGTTCGTTATTCAAAATCCACTTGCCTGATATTTATACGAATAAATATCGTTATCAATATATATAGCAACCTTAGAATATCTAGAAGATAGTCAAAACCGCGAAAAGTACCCACGTGTGTAACTTGTATGAAAGAAAGGTAAGATCAATAACCTTGGCAAGTTCAATATTACATGGCATTTCTGTTGGCAATTAATTTCTACCGCAGGCATTTTCAAGAATATTATATCACCTTATATGTATTTGTAAATTGTCAAAACACATTGCATGTATGTGTGGCTTGCAAATGCTGTTGTCAGAACTTCCTTATTTAAGTAATCTGTAGGGTTCATGGGAGGGGGGTGAATCGTTCTGAACTGGTAATATGGGTCGGGGTACGACAAACGATTTGAAAATGACACAAATTCTACGAGTTAAGATTAAGAAAAAAGAGGTCTAAATCAGAATTAATTTTGAGTTGGACCCGCCTAACCTGAACACGACACGAAACTCGTAAAAAAACTAAATATATATATATATATATTTTTCATTACATATTTTAGATTTTATTACGAACTTGTGTATTATGATAGTTATACTCAAAATCTTATACTATCATTTGCTTAATTTTGATGGCTGTTATTGTATTTTAGCGTGTTATAGATTTTAAGTTATTTCTAATATTTAAAAAAATAAAGAAAAATATATAATTTCATGTCAATTTCGAGTTCACGGTCAATTTCGTGTTACGGGTAATTTTCGTGTCGTGTCGTGCCAACCTGTAAAGTGGTTGTGCCGTGTTCGTGTTGCGGTTTTTTAAAAAAATCGTGTCACGGATCATGTTCGGGTTGATTGTAAATTTAAAAAGAAACGATCATAACACGACACATGACACAAATTACTACCCTTAGTTTCGTTGCCCTTCAAGCATTTTGTTCTTTTTAGTTTTTTCTTCTTCTTTTTTTTTTCCTTCCTTATCTCTTTTTATTGCATCTTTAACCTTCAGTTTTTATATATTTTCAAATATATATTTCTTTTAAATATTTTTTTACAGTTATTTAAAATATTATTTTTTAATTACTCTGTTAAATTAATCTATTCTCAAATGTGTTCCTACATAAATATCTTTTGCCTGTGACTGTGATCCTCACAAACTATAGCTTCAGTTGCGAAACATTTCGCACAATTTTTTTCCTAATTTTTTTTTTATCTTTTTTTCTTGTCTTTTATTTAATATCTTTTTCCTATTTTTTTCTTTTATTCCCTATTTTTTTTTCTTTTTTTCCCTCATTATTTGTATAAATATTGTTTTAAATAAGTCACGTTCGCACGCATTTTTAACTAGTACTTTAAAAGAGAGAATGAATTGCAATATTTTTACTTTTTATTTATTTTTACATAAGTTAACACACATATAAAAATTGTGTGCGTATAAAGTGGATGATTCATGATTTCAAGTATTTAAAGAGAAAAAAAAAAACCCCCCCCACCTGTCCTATGCCCGGACTATTAACTTTATTAAAATAAAAAACCACGACCTTGATTATCTGATTATATGATTGAGGTAAAGTCAAAGGTGAACCTAAAATAATAATAATTAAAAAAAAAAGATCACGTCATTTGAAGTAAATCCAAATACGTATATCCAGAAATGTCTGAACTGTTAACGCGTAAATTTGATCCGAAGCAATCTAACTATAAAATAATTTAAGATTAGACCTCTTCATACGCTCCTCATTAGCTGGCCTGCTTTTAGTTAATTATTTAATTATCAATTTGTTTAGCTGATTCCTACAATTAAGATTGCTATCTTGTCCGTTGGTAGTTCATGAATCACGATGACCCTTTCAATCATGTAAAGAGTTCATACCAAACTTCTATATGTATATATATGTACATACATACATACATATATATATATATAGAAACATTCATGAACCCAAGAAATACTCATTTTTAGACCAGAAGAGAAAACCAGATAAACTGTGAAAATAATCTTCCAAATCTTTTGGGTAGACACTAAAAATAGTAAATTTGCCAATATCGATCAATCATGATATATTCATATTCGGTTGCTTCTCCATCTTCTTTCTTTGCTCCATCTCTCAAGCGCAACATTCATCAATCGATCCAACCAATCAGAGGTCAGAGCTATAGAGATCGTGATCAAGGTACGTAACCGGGTTTCCTATGTGATTTCTATATGTATATATATGTGTGTGTGTTTGAGTTTATATGATATATATATATATATATATATATGTGTGTGTATTTATTACTTGGTTGGTGAATAAAACAAGGAAAAAAATCAATAGTAATATGCAAATCTGATAATTGGTTATTGATCTTAAGAGAAATATTTAATCTACATATTCATTCTTTTGTTCATCAGTTTGCAATTTTTGTTGGTCATGACAGGATCAAGATCAAGTAACAACATTGTAGATGCGAATTTGAGCGTTCTAAGTGAGAGAATGGAGAAAATCAAAGTCAAGGAAAGGCTTGAAAGATGTTGTAGAAGTGACATTTATGGATGGAATTATTTAGCTGTAACCAGTACTGAGAACAAAAATTACAGACTGGTCAAAAGGAAAAGATCAGATCATCAGTCATTGTTAACGGAGTTGCTTGAATTTGCGGCGATCGCCGGTGGAGCTCTCGGATTCACCTTCTTTACCGGCACTTTCTTCCTATGCCTCGTTTCTCTTTTCGTGCATCTGAATCAAATTATGTGAAGTACTTCATGAATTCTCGTTGAAGAGGACAGGGAATAATCACCATGGATATATTTTTTAGAACAAACCTTATTTAATTGATTTATTATGTACAATTACAGTTGTTAATTAATTTGATTAAGATAAGGTAACAACTGACACAAAAAAGTTTATCGCTTGATTCTTTCAAAATGCAAAAGAAAAAAAAAATTCAAGAGGTTACGATTACTGTTAATACCTTTTTGATTTGTAGACAAGACCAAAGAAATGTCATGAGTCGTGACTATTATTAATACATACTTTCTTTTCCATGCAAATACAATTTATGTTGTGTTATTAAAGTTGTTTGTTGCATAATTTGCATTGTGCGAATCAACGTTGCCGGCGTGGAAGCTGATCTTTACTAATGATAACATCAATAACAATAACTTAAAAGGAAATCATATAACCCAACGCTGGCCGATAATTATGTAAAGAAATAGCCAAAGCTGGAATTATTAGCCGGATACTCATCTGTCTATATGCTCGTCACATCAAACATAAGTAAGTCATGGACGTAAAAGAAAAAAAGAGAGAGTACGTCATTTATTTATTGGATAGATAGAGAGAGGTGGAAAGAGAAAGAGTTAAGGGGTATTTATTCAAAAAAAAAAAGAAAAAAAAGAAAAGGGAATTAAGGCCTATTTTGTCTCTTTTAATAATGTTAGAAATCTAACATATTAAATTATGTTACTTATTTCTTATTCTAAGAAATTATGTTATAATTTACTAACCACCATCTTAAATATGTCATTTCACTCATTCTATAAAAAAAATACCAATATTTGACCCAAAAACCTTGCCACCAAACCCTTCATCTCCTCCTCTGCTATTTCATGGGATCCCTAGTCCCGTCTCCTCACTAAGTACGACTGAAGTGCAAGCATTGTCGGTAACCGACCGAAATAGAACTATTGAAGATTAGTTACCGATCCTTCAATTTTTTCAATCAGTTAGTCATCGGTTTTCAATTACCGATGAAAATCGTCAATTACTGACCGACGTACAGCCTTAGTTGGTGTTGGTAAGCCCACTTGTCCCTACATAAGTAGACAATTCACTTAAAAGGGATTTATAAATATAGCGATACTTTTATCTCCTTTAAAATTATCTAAGTATGTCACTCTTATAATCTTATTAAAATGCGAATACGAATACAATACGAATACGAATAAATTGATTTGTGATACAAGTTATGTCATTTTGCTCCTTTGCTCAGTGGTGGAGATTTCTTTAGGAGCTCAATACCATCTAACGTAAGAATTTTCCCCTAGAGATCGGGTTTCAATGATTGTCCACCGAGAAATCTCTTGAAACGTGACATTGGAATGATAGTGATCTGCTGACGTTGCAAACAACCAAAGTTAATCCAACATGTTAACAGGCAGTGAGTTATTTATCTTTTTATACCTTGCCTCTTAAGTTTATTAAAAAAGAATATTTTTTATTTTATCAAAAGTATACTTTTAAATTTCATTTAATATAAAAATTCATATCTTATATTAACATTGATTTTGACCTAAAAATGACAAAAATACCCTTAAAATAACAAATAAAATTCTTAAAAGTTCTTAAAAACTTTCTAAAAGAATGAAAAGGAAAAAAAAACACATTTTTTTGAAGATTTTTCTATTTTTATATATTTTTAAGATTTTTTTAATTTTTCTTTCTTATATATAAGGGTACATTTGTAGGTTAAAATTAAGTGTTGATCGGTAAAAAGTATAAATTTATATATCAAATAAAATCCGTAAAAGGATACTTTTTGATGAGATCAAAAATCAAAAATATACTTTTTAAATAATCCTAAAATGCAAGGTACGAAAAAGCAAATAACCCTTTTAAGATCTTTGAAGTGATAGCTTTGGATGATCTGGGGTAAAATCCGAATAATTCTTTTGTCCATGCTGGACAGGTTAAATCATGCTATTCAGCTGCCTCGAGAATTTTCCAAAAAGAAATGAAGAAGAAAACTTGAACTTGGCTTTTTAAAATTAATCAACAAATTACATGGCTGATTAGCAATAAACCTCAGAATTCAGCAAAGTCCAATATTCTCACAAGCATACAAAATGTTTTTGAACTGTATCAAAACCATTCGATCATATCCCAAAATGTAAAAATAGATTGCTTTTTGTTCAGATTAGTTACGGAGAAAAGCAACTGTGGCAACCCGAGATCCTACAGAACCACCAAACTCAAAAGTTGGATAAGAGCGAACATGACCAAGATATTGAAATGCAGGGGCGTCCCTATTTGCTTCTTGGTCCTTGAGGGGTTCTTCAGCTTCCTGCGAGTGGGACCCTCCAATGCTTCTTTTGTTGAAACCTTCCACTTCTCCGACCAATTCATCTTTTGTATTATTGCAGGAAGTTAAAACCTACCAAAAAAAAAAAAAACAATTACATATTTGACAAGGATCATTTTTTGAAGAATATAATAGAAATACCTTTGTAGTAAAAGAATTCGGAGTCTAAAAATTGGAATGAAAATAACAGATTTTTTCCACCCCTTTTAAAGAAAAAAGCAACACTCGTGAAGACTAGGTCCGTCTACGTTTCTACGTCTCATCGTATACCAGTTAGGACAACAACGAGGGACTAATTCCGGAAACAATTAGTTAGAAAAATCAAATACAACATACCAGTATTCCACCACGCGCCACTAATCTTGAAACAGCGTCCCAATACATTATCCTGCAGATGAGAAAATACAAAATCCAATCATCATTATGGCTTCTACCTTTTAATTTATGTGATTGAAATGCAACATAACCATTATTCATTTTTTGATAACCCTAGGATTTCTCAAGAGAACATAATCTCTGTTCAACATTAAGAAATGCCAAAAAGTTCATAAAAAAAGGTTGGGTTCCTCTGGCTGGTGAATTAATTGTATAAAACGTAAGGCTTATTTTCTCTTTGGGCTAGGATTCTCTCAGTTCTGAATATGCTGCATGACTCAGTAAGCTTCTTTCTAATTTTCATACTTGCAGAAAGATAATAAATTTTGCTACCTTTTAATGGGGCCATCTGGGTGCAATCCAATGGCATCTAAAGTTCCTTTATCTGTGACGAGTTGAAATTGTCGTTCCAGCTTTGTCTCAAGAACATCATCAACCTTTGTGGAAAACAAAAACACAAACAAAAAATAAAATAAAAAAATCCATTGAGACATGCAAAAAACAATGTATTAATTATTAAACAAGTTAAAATCTAGAAGATACACTTGCATAAAGCCTAACTAAACAAATTAAATAATTCAACTTCCTACACATAGTTCATTTGCAATGTCTATGTTGAGACAACTTCAATCAGTAGAAGAAACTTAATTTATATATATATGTATATATATATAAAAAATAAAAAATAAAAAAAAAGAAGAAGAAGTTACGTTATTAAACTATGTTGATTTTAAATAACCACGTCAAGAACCTAAGAATTGTTGATTTAATATAAGTTGAACCAAAAAGGATATAGCTATTTACTTTAAACAATAATAACAATGAAAAAAAGAGGATATTGCTCCTCGAAAATCAGGAATCAAGGAAAAAAAAAAAGTTTCTGTGCAAAAACAGAGGCCGATAAAATCTTTTGGCATTCTTATCACCGCATTAAAGACTATACAACTTTTGCAATAAAGTAACAATGGTCTTTGAACAAATCCAACCAGGTCCAAGTGATACCAATTCTCGCTTTGGAGTGCCAGGTATATAAACCAAACGCAAATGAATATCCAGGACCTCAGTTCTGGAATCTACTTCAGTTTCTACCCGAAAACAAAGTGCCAACAAATAGAAGAGAAAAATAGGAGGAGAACAAGTAATTTGAGAGGTTAAAACCTTGGCATGAACAAGTCATGATATTCCCACTTCCACCACATGGAATGCATGAAATATCAAACTAAATAAGGGATAGGTCAAGATCACCAGATATTAATTATTAGACTAATGAAAATGAATTCCATTTTATGGGGTGCGGAGCACTTCCTGGCAAAAATGAGTACCATCAAATGGGAGATGGAAAAAATCTAAATGCAAAACGGAAAGTGCTTATAATTTCATTATGTCTGAGTTTGTACCAAGAAGTTAATATTAACAAATCCATTACGCTGCGCAAGTTTTCGAGCAAGGTCAATCGCTCCTTCACTGTAATCGATTCCTGTTAAATCAGAAAACCTGAACCAAAATAAAAACAAGTTTTATCATCATTTGGTGCTATGGCTTGAAAACATCAGAACCAATAAAACTTAGACCTCAAGAGATATCTTTGAGAAAACTGAAGCTAGTAATTCAAGAAAACCCACCAAAAAGTGGGAAAGGAAAAGCATTTTCCTAGTCATAGTTAATTCACTACTTTCTACTGCTGACATGACTGCGGCATCAAGGAAAACCAGCGCTCTTAACTTATTACCACTAAAACAGAACCAAGCAGTTCCTAGCAAAGTATCATATGTATTGTGTTTACAGAGTAATAGCAAACATAATTACACCAAAAATAGTAGAAAAAAAATCAGATATTCTAGGCTTTTAGCATAGAGTAAAGCGTACCCCTGCTTGGCTAGTTCTTGGAGTAGCAAACCATTGCCAGTCCCAATATCAAGGACACTCCAAGTAGAAAGATATTTATCACCACCTTCAACAGGCTCGGATTTGACATTGTCAACATGATTTGGTAGGTGGCCTAGAGAAATATCGATGCACAAGCTTTTGGTCCAAGAAGCAACAACTTCCATTACATCAGTACCAAACCTATCGAAACAGAGGGAAGAAAAGTTGAAGAATCCTAACATAAGGTAATAAAGACACATAATAATCAATAACTAAATCTATAATAAAGGAGAGACCATAAGATTCCCAAGGGCCTCTCTTACATATTTTTCTTGACGGGAGGGATCAGGGATTTAAAATATATATATATATATATATTGTTGAAAACAAAAGGGAATTTCTCTGATGAAGCATCTTGACAGCAGCAGCACCACTTACAACTGTCGAATCCAACAGTTTTAGGACCTTCTGAACTTGTTGTTTAGTACCGCAGAATTTGGCCCAGGAAGAATATAAAGGAGCACAAACTTGGTAGAAGGTTGAATCAAAGCTATGGGAAATGGTCAAAGTTACAAACTTTAATAAAATGTAAGAAAAGTTTTTTTTTTTTAATATCCCGATATCCCCTGAACCCACTTGTGAGCCTGAGTTTGAAACTGGAGCCTTCCGCAAAACCCTATAATCTTGGAAGGCAGGAAACTTTGACTTTTGTCATAGGTGCCTTTGAGGTGGTTCGTACCCCAGACCTTTTTGGGAGCAATCAAAGGCTAAAAAAGCATAATGCTACACAATAACCAAGATAAAAACTTATATGAAACATGTTTTCTATGGTTCGAATCTTAGTGAGAAATGTTTCCATGCCTGAAGTTTGCCTTTGATTCAAAAACAACAAAAACAAAAACAAAAACAAAAAGAAAAAAGAAAGGTGAAATTGCCTTCCAAAATTAGACCGTACCAAACTTCACCAGAATGGCCATGTTCATGAAAATTTGCCAACTCATCCGCATACGCAGAATCCCAGTAACTCTGAAGACCTAACATTGATGTAACTGCTTCAGCATCTGGTTCATCCTTGTCAGAACTGCACACATAAAAAAACAATGCCTTAAAACAGGATGTCCGTTCCAACCATCTACTATTAGCAATTATAAACAGCTAAAGAAAATGATGATTTCTGTTTCGCCAATCTTTATCCACTACATATGCTACAATTTCCGATACAATCTAATTTATAACCTGAACTACACGTTGCATACAACCAGCTTGACAGGGTAATGGAATCATTCAAATACTAAACCAATATCAACTTGGAATCACGAAATCCAGAACAAAAATGAAACAATTCTTTGTATCTAGAAATCCTCAACAATTTGAATCAGGAACTCCAAAGCACAAGTTTACGCCAAATTCCAACTTTTGTACTGCTAAACGTTTTAGGTCAACACATCCACTCCACTGTTGTTCCCCGTTTTCTGATTGAAAACCTAAAACGAACTTCTTGTGTTCATACAAAAATTCCACTCCTTTTCCCTAACCTTTTCACCCAAACCAAACAGCAAAGAGCAATAGGTAAGCCAAGCTGACCTGTAATCAGAGGCGGCTCTGAAATTGCCGGCAGAGAGGGCCTCGGCGGCGTCGGCGTGGCGTTGCTCGTCGTCGAGCGTGCTCCCGTACTCGCTCTTGATGGACCAGGAGTCGGCGGCGATCGAGCGGTCGTCGTCGGAGACCAGATCGGCGGCGGCCGGAGTTGACCGAGCCGGCTGCCCGAGGTCTGTATCCTCCGGTGGCGATCGGATTCCAGTCATTGTTTCCTGACCAAAAGAAAAAAAATAAAAAAAAAATAAAAGAAACTCCGAACAAGAGAGTCTATGCTCAGAAGACAGAATCACAGAAAGTGACGAACTTCTGTCCAAGAGGGAAAGAAAGGACAGTAAACGTGGTTTTCTACATTCGTACACTACACCTTGACCATCTTTTTTTCGCTTTAGTAATGTTTTACATAGTTGAATGTGTAAACTTGTGTGCATGCTATAAGTCAATTATAAATTTAATATTTAAGTGTAAATAAATATTTTATAATATAATATAATTTATTTTGATAAATTTATTATATGTGTTATTTTGTGATAAATTTTTTACTAAATATAACATATAATAAATTTGATACTTAATTTTTATTGATTAATATATTTAATTTTTCATTTAATCATTATAGTTTTTGTTTTTTAAATTATTTTAAAATTGAAAAATGACTTACAACTTTCAAAGCTTAAGACTTGTTTAGTTCATGAGTTTATATCAGTGATTTTTATTCTGAATTTAAATTTTGTGAGAGAACCCATTGGTATGAACTTTTTTTTATTCAATTTTTTTATGGGAGAGCATAATCAGAATCATGGGTTCAAATTAATGAACTAAACAGGTAACTGGTAAGATTGTCTCTAATGCAAATGCTAATGTCAATTTAATTTGTACTTCAATACATAATGTTATTTGAAATGTTAAAATTTATTTTTTCTACAATCATTAGTATGTTTCTTACAAGGATTTCAGCATAAATAATCCTTTTTAAAGGGTTTTTTTTTAAGAAAATGACCAATGTTTTGTAAAATTATAAAAATGGTTGTTTTTATTAACTTAAAAGGGTCAAATCACTAATTGACTTAGTGGTTTATAACTGATTAACTTAACAGTCAATTATTGATGGACTTAACGGTCTATCAATGATAGATTTTAATTTATCACGAATTAACTTAATTATTTTTCATTATTAATTAATATTAGTTAATAATTAACTAAAATCAATTAGTAATTTTTTTATATAAAAGGAGAGGAGAATGCCACCACATTCAAGTGAGACTTAAAGTGACTCAAAACCTCAACCTATGGTTGAGGTGGAGGGGCTTACAATTAACTAGTCTGCTCTCACTCATTAAATCAATTAGTAATTAAACAACTTCAATCAACAAATTACAATTTATCAATGATAAATAATTAATAAATTAATAATGAGTTAATTAATCACTGATTGATTGTGGTTAAGTTACTGATTTATTGTGGTTAATAACTAATTGATTGTGAGTCTATCACTAATTGATTCCTATAAATAAAACAATCATTTTCTTAAAATAAAAAAAGTTTGACTATTTATGAAAAGGTAGTAAAAATGTCATTTAGCTAATTTTTCCTTTTAATAAATACTTTGAAAAAGTAACTCTGTCTTGCAAATTACATTCCCAAAAATTTTACATTCCAGAAAAAGGAAAGTAAGTCGCAAAAGGTAGCAAGAAAGTAGAGGTCGAAAAGAGCTGTAAACAAGCTGAGGCAGTGATTCGGTGAAAGGTAGAGAGAAAGAGAGGAGTAATTAAGATATGTTTGTTCTATTTTTCTGTCTCATCGAATTGAATTTTAACGTCTCATGAATTATATAAATATTTTAGTATTTTATTTTTATTTATATGATTACATTTTTAAATTTAAATAACATGTCAATCAATAAGTGGAAAGACAACCATTCAAACAGAAAAATATGACAACATATTTAAAATTGTAAATAACATGTCAATCAATAAGTGATTCTAGCTATTATAATTAGTAATTTTTTAGTGAGTTACTCTAACTATACTCTATATTTTAACTAAACATAAATAATTTTAATATTTATTGAATTTAAAATATGAATAACTCTATCTAATTTAAAAAAAAAAAAAAAAAAAACCCTTTGCATGTGGTTTGAAAGAATAAATAATAAAAGAAACAAATGTCTAGTCAATTCTTAATAAGAGCATCTCTAAAAGTACTCTTTAAATATAAATTAAATTCTAACTAAAATTATCATAAAATTATTTTAGTTAACAACTTTTTAGTGAATCACTTCAATTATATTTTTTTTTAGTTAAATATTGATTATTTTAATATTGATTAAAATTAAAATATAAATAATTTTATTAAATTTAGAAAAGAGTCTTTATATTTATTCCAATTTTAAAAATAAAATAATATAAAAAATGAAATGACTAGCTATTTCATGCTAATTATATTTAGCTAGTATGAAAAATATTATCTACAATAGTTAACTATTTAACTAATGATTAGAGTAGAGAAAAGTTAAGAAAAAAATTAAAGGTCCGTTTAGTTTGCTGATTCGAGTTTTTAATTCGAGTTGAGATGTAACTTTATATGAGAGTTTTTTATTGTAGCAAAAAAGTTAGATGTGACTGTTTATGAGAGCTTTTTACGGTAATAAAACTTAAATTTTAAATTCGAATCAGTAAAATGAACGGAACATAAATCATTAATAATTTTAACTAAAAATATAAAATAACTAATATAATTAAAATTAATATGATATAATGTGAAAAACATTTTTTAAAATAATTAACTATTTAATTAATAGATAGAGTGGAAAGAAAAAAAAAATCAATCATTCGGAGTTTCTTTTATTTTTTTGTTCAGCTTTTGCGCTGCGTCCCTCCCACTTTCCTCCTCCACTCAGACATCACTCTGTCACACACACACACACGCACTCTCAGAAAACAATGTGCAACAATTTAAGAATGCGTTCAGAGAAGCAACGAAAAGGAAAAAAGTATTGCCTTAATTTGTTATCCAATGTTAGGCCAACACTCAATCTCTTGCTTCGTCTCAAAACTAATACAATAATAGAAGCTGCCAAGGTTAGGCAAAGCCCAATCTCGTTTTCGTGCGTCGCAGAAAATCCCATCTTCTTTCTTGTAAGATTCCCTCTCTTATTAGTCTTTTATTTCAGATCCGACTCTTAAGTTTTAAAATTCTTCTCCATTTCTCAACTATTATTTTGTGTTCATTTCTCTATCAAGGTGATACCCTTTTGATTTTTTTTTTTGTTTATGTCACGAAAATGTATGTCTTCTTGAACTTATGAAATTTGGTTCTAATCTCCGTTAATGTTCTGCTTTTTGTGTGTCTGATGCGGGTTTTATGTCGTTTTCGTCTTTGTGTTTTTCAAAACAGTAGTTTGCTGTCGCTTTTGTTTCTTGGCTTCTCATTTTAGATAAAAGGTAGATAGTCTTTTTTAATTCTTTCTCTTTTTTGTCTCTCTTTTAGTTTTCCTTTCATCTTTGTCTCATTCTTCCCCCCTTTTCCCTACTTTTTTTTGGGTCTCATTTTAGATGAATTGTTTTTTCGTTTTGATGGTATTTTATGATATTAGTTTGCTGAAATGCTATCGCTTTTAGGATTTACGCAAACAGGGAAGGAAAAAAAAATAGTCGCTTCCATATTTGGTGTTGTTCAGAAGAAAAAAAGAACAGAAAAAAAAAAGAGAAAGGGAATTAACATTTTGAGATTCTTTTTTCTGTGATTACATCAGAAAATCTTGAGGACCAAATAGGCTATACATATTGGTTTCCTATAATTGAGCAACAACATTTTTGTGAGCAAAGCATTACTTTTGTTTTCCTCACTCTTTTTTTTATTTTTAAACCATTAGGATTCTCTTTAATGGCAAATTGTTACGTTGCTTTGACAGTGAAAGAGGTGATTCCATTTCTATCTCTTGGTTTCACAATTGCTGCATTTTGTATCATATTTGTTTTCTGTGAATTTTTGTTCTTTTCATGTGCATTATTGTTACCAAAATTTTCATTTCATTGCCCTCATGAGCACATGCTCTGTCTGATAATGGTGGTCGGTCGTTTTTCACTTTGCCCATATGGCTTCCTAAGAAATGAAGAAGAAGAAAAGTATTTGACATTCTTAATCTGTGCCTTGTCAAGTCCTATCCATAACCAGAAAAGGAAAACCGTGTCAATAGTTTTAGCAAAAAGTGTCAAATATTAATGTTTAGTAGCTGGTTGAGACACGTCTACTTGCTTATAGGAATTGCTAATGACTGTGTCATTATACTGGCTTATGTTTATTTTGAGATCTGCATCTTGTTAGAATTACTGTAGACATAATACGATATGTTTTTCTTGTCCGGACCCTTTTGGTTGGTTCACTGTTTGACATTCTAACTTTTGAGCTTTTTTTTATATTTGTTAAATATTGAATTGCTAACTTTTGTTTACATTTTCTTTTTCAAAATATGACTTTTCTTATGTATTTTAATTTTTAAAGGATGGGGGATCACTTTGTGCTATTGGTGGATAGGCTTCTCACCGAGTCCACCCTTGAAGCGGCTATTGAGAGGGAAAATCAGTTACGGCAATCCACAGTCTCAGCAAGCCCCGGTCATATGATTTCTTCCCATGAAATAGATGTAAATATCGGATCATGTTCTAGTAAATTGGTAGAGTGTAGGATTTGCCATGATGAAGATGATGATGGGAATATGGAGACACCGTGTTCTTGCCGTGGCAGCTTGAAGGTAAGACTTAATATAACTAATTCGGGCTATTTCTAGGCTCGTGTTTAATCTCTGTAAGCAAAAATGCTTGGGATCTTCCTTTTATACGTTCTGCCGTATACTCGAATCAAGTATGTTAGAATGCATAGAGCTAAATGGTGATTTAGATGTTTGATATATATCTAAACCATATAGTGGTTCAAACCTGTGATAGAGTTGCATATTCAATCCCGTCATGGTTTCAATGAAATATTGTGTGAAACTGAAGTAGTGTGCATTATTTTCTGCTTTATTATCCAATCAGCCTCAGTCGTGATGCGTTAATGTCCTCTGTAGTCTGTTCTTTTTCCTTCTCTCTGTCGTTGCTGAAATATAACCTTAAGAAGTTGAATTGATAATAAAACTGCAAAGCCAGCCGCAGTCCTTTAAAGCATTCATTTGGGCTGTTAACGGAGTAGCATCTTAGGTAATATGCATAATTATGGGGCATGAGACGTTATCCTTCACCTTATATCTTCTTTCTTCTAGCACTCGAGTATAATAACCCATAAAAGGTGGGAAAAAAAATTTCATTTGTTTTTTTTTTTTTTTTGAGGAAAACATTTTCATTGTTTTCTTGTACATATTTT